GCCTCCAGAGAGGGTCAGCTATTGTGCTCCCTTCAGGCTGTCACTTGGGAGGGCCTTCTGCTTTACTCAAATTTTCATCTCATCCAGAAACATCCAGCCTCACTGACACACACAGAACAATGTATGACCAAATATCTGGGCATCCTGTGGCCTGATCAAGTGGACATATAAAATTTACCACCATACCTATTTAACCAATCCAATACAATGATGAGCAGTTGCATTCTACATGGGAGTTTTTTTGGTCAAAAATTTTACTAATTGCAATACTGAAAATAATTACTATACCCTAAACAGACTGCACAAGGTTTAAAATCAGGAAAGACATCTATTTAGTTTAGAAGAACTGATTTGCATTTCCTTAACCTCCTAATTTCTTATGCAACGACATATAATTTAACAAAGGATCATCAGAAGGAATCCAAATATTTGTGACTTATAACAAGAAGCTCTGAGTATTCCGATAACAAAAGGAAGAATACCCTAACATTTGAGGACATGGCTTTGCTAAATTTCCCAGGCAGCCTGTGGTTGTTCTTTATAAAACACAATTCATTAAAACTCTGCTTCTGTGCATCTGCCCACACAGCAAAAACTAAAACAAAATTTGGTTTTTGTTTCTCCAACCTGATTTATGTAAACCCATTAATTCAGGGTTGTGGTGATTTTTCTCTTGGTCTAATCTACTAGTTTCTGCTCGGCACTCACTCATATTAATTGGTTAATTGGAGCCTTCCACTGAACTTCCTGCTGTTTGAAATCCCCAGGGAGTTTCACTTGTGGTGGGGGGGAATGTGAAACTTCTGCAAATATCCAAACACAAAATCCTTTTCCCAGAAAAAAAAAAGACACTCAGATTTAGTATTTTTCTTTACTTTCAAGTCTCAAAGTGTCCATCTGAAAACTCTCTTTTGCACCTTACTTAATGCCTTTAGGACATTAAATTCATTCTGGTGTCATCTCTTCCTTTTATTCTTGGAAAACTGGTGATACTTTGAGTTTAGAAGCTTAAGAGCCCCTGGTTTATTCTGAGCTGAACCAGTAGCTCTACTTTGAGTAGCTGCCTCCTAAAGTTGTCTGATCTACCTTCATCACAATAGCCTTTCCAGTCTAGACATGGTCATTGTTTATGTTCAGGCCAGTGATTCCAAACCATAATTTAGGGGTAATGAAGCGACTGCCTCATGAGAAAGGTTCCCCAAAGACATTCTGTCTCAAACATTTTTACATATAGTGTTCCCAAGGAAGATTGTAACAATATTTATAAATTTCCTACCTTTTCTTCCCTGTGACCTTTGTATGAGTTAAACTAGATTAAGTAAACTACAAAAAATCAGTCCCTAAATCTCAGTGGCTTATGGCAATATGGTTTGTTGCTTATTCATAAACAACAACTTATAACCAACACAGGTTGCAGAGAGTTCCGTTCTACTAGATGCTGAGGGCCCAGGTGGACTGATGCTCCAACATCTCCGTTTAGATAGTCCATGGTCCAAGACACTGATGGTGCTGCACTTTGGCAATTCAAAATTGACAGCCTTGAGGGACTAGGATCCCAATTTTAAGGCCATCCTGGACAACATAGTGATATTCTGTCTCAAAATAAAATTTAAAGAGGGCTGGGAATGTAACTCAGCGGCTGAGTGCTTGTCTAGCATGTATGAGACCTTGAGTTCAATCCCCAGCACTGCAAACAAAACAACTCAAAACCAAACCCATCATCCAGGTAGTGCTAATTTCACTTACAGTCCATTAGTTAGACAGTCACACACTTATATCAAAATGAAAGAAAATGGGCAATTCAGGTACCCAAAAGAAGAATGGGATGTTTGCCTTTCCTCATCACGTCCACCAGCACTTCTCTTTTTCCTTTACCTTATACTCCTAACTTCCAACTCCCTTCTAGCTTTTCTCTCAATTTACATCCTAGACTGCTTTCTAGAATTCTTGTCATCAATTCTGCATAAGCCCTTGCCCTCCTCCAGGGAACCCCACCCAGAAAATACCCACCCACCCACACACACAGATACATGTCCATGATGGGAAATGGGGATCCGATAACTAGTTGATGATCTTCATGCACATTAACTAGAAACAAAAATCAGTGAGAAGTGCAAGCATTCTCATCACCCAGAAGTTGTTGAAATAGCTCATATGAACTGCTGTCAGGAGTCATCGGGCCCTGCCACTGTTGTACTCCTGTGTGTGTGTGCAAAGAGATCATAATAAACCCTCTGGTCATGCTCAGTACCACTGCACTAGTCTATATTGTAGCTCACCAGTGGCGCTGGTCTGGTCTATTCTAGTTGTGGTTACCCATGCCTCTGTGTGCATGTATGTGCGTCTGTTGAGGGAGAGAATTGTCAGGATTGTTTCTATTTAAATGCAGAAACTGCACATTCAGTGGAAATTATCTGGCAGAATTATTGTGGTATTTTATTTATTTAGATGTAAATTAATTTTAATGAAACATAAAAACAAAAAAAATACATGTTAATGGTGTACCATATGATAATTCAGTACATATATATAGTAATGGTTTGCCTATGAGGTGTCCCACAAAGGCTCCTGTGTTAATGCAAGAACATTCAGAGGTGACATGATTAGATTATGATAGCTGTAATCTAATCAGTTCATCCTAGTTTGAACGAACTAACTGGGTAGCACCTCTAGGTAGGTGGGGCATGGCTAGAGAAGGTGGGTCACTAGCGGTGGACCTTAAAAAGGTGCACCCTACAAGCATGCACCTTCTCTGTAGCCCTATTCCCCTTCCATCTCTCTTACCTGATCACAGTAGAGCAGCACTCCTCTGCCCCACCCTTCTGCCAAAATGCTCTGCCTTACCTCAGGCTCAGAACAATGGAACCAGCCAACTATGGACTAAGCCTCTGAAACCATGAGCTAAAATAAAGTTTTCCTTCTCTAAGTTGTTGTCATGTATTTTGGTCACAGAGATGAAAAGCTGGTTAACACATGTACCTTGTATCATGTTTAAGTTAGATCAGACATATCATTTCCTCAAACATTATCATTTTTTCTTTATGATGAAAATATTCAAAACCCCTTCTTGTAGGTTTTTGAAATGTACAGTGTATGAGTGTTATTTACAGTCACCCTGACATGCAATAGCTCACCAAACTTCTTACTCCTATCTTCATTGACCAACCTCTCCCTCCTTCCTCTCTGCACTCTATAAACTCTGGTAAACCATCATTCTACTTTCAACTTCTATGACATCGACTTTTTTTTTATATTCCATGTATGAGTGAAATCATGCATACTTCTCTTTCAATGCCTGGTTTATTTCACTTGACATAAGTGACCATCCAGTTCCATCTACATTATTGCAAATGACAAGATTTCATTCTTTTTTATGTCTGATTGGCATTCCATTGTATATATGTGGCACGTTTTCTTTATCCATTCATCAGTTCATGGGCGTTTAAGTTGTTTCCATTTCTTGGTTATTATGCAAAGTGGAAGAATATAACTATATTACCTGTAACTTTTAAACTATAATACTCCTACTGGCAGAGATATTAGCAGACAAGAGTGCTCAAGCATTACAGGTGAGAATAAATTTCAATAAGATATTTCTGAAGGATAATTTGGCAGTATCAATCATAAGACTTAAAACTATGTATATACTTTGTTCCAGAATTTCCATTTAAAAAAAAATTCCTTCCTGGGGTAAACACAAAAAATTTGTTATTGCAGTCCCCAGCATCACACACACACACACACACACACACACACACACACACACACACACAAGATTTAGTTGTAAAGTTGTTCAATACAGAATAATTTATCATAACCCTGGAATATTGTAGATTCCCAACAAGAGAGAATTAGTTGAATAAATCACTTCATGGTTCTAAACACTACTGAACGATTAAAATTACACTGGGGAAATATATCCTTGACCAAAAAGCTGTGCATAAATTATTACTACATGTTTCCATTTTGAAAATAACAGATGATGTGCATGTGCACAAATACCATTGCACAGGGATCAACTCTGGTTTGATTTTTACTTCCCATTTTAATTTACCCGAAATTACTTCCTAGCTGAGATAACTTGGTAAAAATGCTGTTTTGAAAATATTTGGAAATGTTACAACAGGAAGCCTGCTGATGGTGAACAGCCTTTGGAAGGATTTGGCCCATCCAGGCACCACCCTATTCTCCACAAGACCCTCACTGGCCAGATCTTACACATATTTAGCTATAGTACTCTGTTCATTTTGTGATTATTCACCAAGAAAGCACCCTTGCACCTAAGAATTTATACACATAGTTTTTTGCTTTCATCAAACTCTTCCTCTGATTATTTGAACATGAATACCCATCAAAGCCTTCCTAAGTTTCTTCCTCAAAACCTTGACTTTGGAACCCTTCTCTCTTGAACATAATTCCATACTAGCTCCATGGATTCAAGCACCATGAACTATGTGTAAGAACATTCTGCAGCCCAGCTGCCCAATCCCTTATAATCTACATCTCAATAAACATGATAGGTTACCATTAAACAATAAGAGTCAATTCTCAATTCTGTATACACTCCACCTCCAATCAGGGAAATGGGATTAGATACAAAAGCAAAGTCTTTTATATTTTTATACGCATATATCTCATGAAGCCTTTTAATTCACATTGGTAATTTGTAATGAGAGTTACATAGACAGAGGAACACTATTAAACAGAACCATCAATGACTTGCTTGTCCTGACATTGGGAGTCTAACAAACACTTTTAAAGATTTAGAAGTATTTTATGTGTCTTTCCAGCATTTGCCTTGAGTATTTGGCTAATATCAGCTAGATAAAATTATGCAAACAAACTTTTCTGTTTCAATGTCTTAATCCACTGAACATCTTCACAAAAACTATTTTTTTTCTTGTTAAAATTGTACTAAGTGTACCAGAGAGCATGATTTATGTGGCAGATGTCAGTGGAGAAAATGGGGGTTATGTTATTGAATTCAAACAAATACTCACCTTTCCTTAAGATCAATCTTTGTTTTTATGACTTCTACTCTTCAGATTACTGTTTCTTTGGTTCATGGCATTGCATCACTGGATGTTGGGACAATTTGTCTTCCGTGGTGTCAGAATCAATACGCATTATATTTTTGGTTGAGAAGCATTATGTACTAGGCATTGCCCTGGAAGAAAGAAAAATATGAATGTGCTAAGAATCCTTCAGCAGATTCTAAAACATATCTCTGTAATTCTGTGCTTTGGTGGGGCTATAGTCCTAATGAAGTCATCTACAAATACAACCCAGAGCCTCCAGGTCCAGGAACACACTAGTCATTTCAGGACCATGTGTGTGTGACAAGTGACAAATTATCCTGCTGGATATGTTCCTGCACATCGTAATAAAACTGAAGAGCAACCCATCTGGATCAACGTTATAGTCTGAAATATAAGTTTCCAAATTGGGAGAAGTTCACATTTATTGTTTGAGGTAGCTTGTTAGGAAAAAGAATTGGCTGCAACAGAGGTCAAAGCCAAAAGAAACACTGAGATGTTGGATACACAAGTAGACGATGAGGAACATAAAGGGGATTCATTTCATTAGCTGGTATCTCAAAGCCCCTTCTAGAGTGGTTCTTTATGTATAAATAAAATACACCTGGCCTACCCCAATTAAAAATGTACATTTTGGATGTGAGCAAGAGGTTAAACTAGTGAGGATAAGATTACAGGATGTAATATGATTTGCACTATAAACCCAGTATCGTTTGGGCTGACCAAGGTCCCCTTTAATCTAATGTTACTATTTGTTGTATATAATCTAAATAGAGACATAATCAAATTTACTATGACTTTTTTTTCAACCAGATGGCTAATCACTATTGAAATAAGATTCCTCGTTAAAATCAGAAATACATGAAATTCACTTAAAACTCCATATTGCACACTTGGGAGCAATCCAATCCTTGAGAGTAACTACCACATCAGCTGTTCTGATTGTCAATAGCAGTCACTGGGTTCAAGGCTTGTCTTATTTTATCAGCACTAGAGGGAATGAAAAGAGGAAGTACCTTGAAAAAGGAATGTACTGGGTTGATGATTAGGGACATCAATGCCCTGAACAGTGTACACATACAAGAAGACCACTAGCTCTTTCTACTGCTTCCATGAGCTTAGGGTTTGATGTGGAAGAACATTGTTGTGGGACTGGGGGAAGTCAGAGTTCATATCCTGCAACAGGATGATTGTATTTGAAAGGAAAGAAATAGGATAATGTAACTGAGATAAAACTGCATAGGAATCAAGGATGTGGCTTCTCTGCTATTTATTTGCTGTAGAACTTTAACAAATGTCATGGCCTTTCTGCTTCTTGGTTTCCCTACCGACCATTAGTAGTCATTCATTACATATAGAGAGTATTAATTTGCTAGGCTCCATAACAGAGTACTGTAAACTGAGTGACTTGAACAACAGAAATTTATTTTCTCACAGTTCTGGAGGCTGGGAGTCCAAGATCAGCATTGGAAGGGTTAATTTCTTCTGAGGCATCTGTCCTCAGTTTATGGATGATTGTCCTCTCCCTGTATCTTCACACAGTTTTTTTCTGTGTCCACATCCTGGATTTTTGTGCATCCAAATGTCCTTTTCATAAAAAGGCACTAGTCAGATTGGATTAGAGTTCAGCATTACAGCTTCATTTTAACTTAATCATATATTTTAATGCCATATATCCAAATAGATTCACATACTGAGGTTTGGGGGTTAGCAATTCAACATAAGAATATTTTTATGGAGGTAGGTACACAATTCAGCTCATAACACAGAGCAAATATAAATGAGATAATGAATGTATAAGTGTGTGATAGATTACAAGGTGCTATATGATATATTGTCATTAGAAGCAAATATAATTCACTGCCTCAGACCACCACTAGGAAAAACTGGATCACAGTAACGATGAGCCTTCTCATTGTAAGGTTAAGAGGATAGATAAATGGTGGGAAATTGTTTTTAAAAGCACCATAGAACAATCCTTTTATAATATCTTGGCCACCAGGCATCCATTTTTATTTTTCATAACTGTTCCTTGATTTCCTTTGGGAATGTACCTGTCCACCCCACCATTGGGTGCTGGGGAAAGACCTGCATCCCCATCCTAGAAGCTGAAAGTCCCTTGCAGAGATGTTCTACCAAATCCTTCCTCTCACTAATCTACACATACCAGGAAGTTGAGCATTATGCATGAGTTGATGGACCATTTACATCTTCCTGAACTTTGTTTCCTATTAAAGTATGTATGGATAGAGGGGGAAAAAAATCTGTTGGGTTTTGTTCAGACCATCTGAAAAAATCAGATGCTCCATTATTTTAAAATGTCCTACTTCCAAGTCTGATTTTTAAAATTTTATTACTTATTCTTTGTGCTTCCTAATATCCTTTCCTGAAATTCTCTGGCTCAAATGGGCTAGAGTGTGTGTCTATTGCTTGCCACCAAAAAGCCATAACTGACGAGGGGGTTGGAAGGGTGACAGAAGGAATTTTGTAAGAGGGAGTAAAGATGAAATAATAGCTGGTAGAAAGGTAAAAGAAATGAGAGAAGGAAGAATGGATAGGAGAAAAGAATGGGTGGAGGGATGGAAAAGAAGGATAAATGAAAGATAGGAGGGTTGTGGGGTATAACAACTCAGATCTTCCTTGGTGAAATGAGTTTCATGACCAGAGAGGAGAATATGGTTTTCCTTGATGAAATAAGTTAAAGAGTTCCAGTTCAGTGACAAGATCTTCTATTAATAGAAATTAGTGCTGCCATGACCTGCCCAGGTCTTTTAACACGAATGGTTTCACTTCCTTAGATAGCCTCTGGTTATGAAACCTTATATAGAGCTCAATTTGCTTTCAGTAACCTACACCCTTTCGAGCAACTCAAAACAGGTCTTTGATAGTCTTGAAAATATTTTAAGACTGACTGAGAGAGATGAGGTAGAGATGTCACAGAGAGAAGTCAACCAGGACTCCCTCAATGAGGTCACTTTATTTCAGATTCTGGTCCTCACTCAGATTTGTAGGTCTAGAAACTCAGCTCAGCCAGGGACCCAGAATTTACAAGTTTGGTTCAAACGCATTCACAAAACACGGAAACCAAGGGAAAACCTGAATAAACACAGTTACTTCACTTGTTTTGAGTTGACTTTTGAAATCACTAATTCTGGAGGTCATGTAGCAATATATTAGTCTCCTACTAGCTCTGTTGAAGATAACACCTCTGAAGTCTTGTTGCTATCTCCTCTGATTACAGTGGTTACCTAGGTTACTTTCCAGGGACTTGAAGGCTGCTTTGTGGAAGCCACTGACCCTTCACTTGTGCAAATGTCTAGTGGGTGAAATTTTGACCTAGGGTGAAAGGCAAAAACTCCACCCTCAGATCATGCTAACATCGCCATTTGCTGCATATGTCCTATGAAGAGCCATGGAGTTCTATTATGCATGTGCAGGCCACTGTTTGCTTCACCTCCAATCACTTTTCCTATGCTTCTTAAACCATTCTGCTTCTTTATTCCATAAATATCCCTGAACCTTGGGCTTCTCATCTCCTGACAATTAGCCAACTAGTGAAAAACTTTTCTTTCACAAAACTCATTGTTTCCCTGACTTTGTTGTGGACAAAGGTAAGTCTAGTCCAATAATAGAGATTAGTGTTTGTAAAACAGGTTTCTGTTTCTCAGTACAAAAGTACTAAGACGGAATCTGTTGTGGATCCAAACATGGCCCCTGTATTTCTTAATTGTGTGATTTTGTGCAAGCTAATTAACCTCTCTAAGACTTGGTAACTTCTGTAGTTATCAACATCTGTAATTGGTGCAAGGGTTGCATCAGTAATTACCCATGATGTGACTGGAGCATTGCCAGTCCATGTAGGATACCCTGCCTCATCTTCTATACCAGACACTTCTCCTGAACCCCTTCTGATGCTTTTGGCCTCACCATTCTTGTTCCAACTATGGCTGCAGCAACCAGCTTAGCATGGGCTCCAGTCTCCTTCAACCTCCCCCAACACTGCCTTCCTCCTGCCTGTGCCTGTGTCTCTTCACCCTAGGCATCCTGTGGACTCTGCAAAAAACCTTCCTAGAGTCTACCTGCATGCAATACTAAAGTGTGGGAAGTTAACACCATAGGGGTGAAACTTTAACCATGGAAGATAGGTCTCAGGATAAATCCTTCCCTCTTTCTCCTGTCCACAGTCCTGAGACATATTTTAGTATTTCTCAGAAGTCTACCCCTTTATCCTTGGGTCTCTCAAGTCCTCAGATTCAGCAAGGAGCAGCACTTGGCATCTAACACTACTCAGTGCATTATCCTAGTATTGGCTCTGTCTCTTTCTCTGCCTTACTCCTGAGACCCCTACCCCATATCCAGTAGGCACACATCAGCCTTTCCCTCACACTCTGTTACTATGGAACCCAGGCTAAAATCAACTCTGACCTCTTTTTCCTCTCCAGCCACAAAAATGGTCCCATCGTTCTGTTAATTGTCCGTATTGGGCAAATTTTGTGATGCTCAGGAGATAAAATTAATAGCAGTTTGCTGCTACATGCATACCATGGTATATGATTCAGCCTTACAAAAGGAAACTCTGACATTCCTACAGCATGGATGAACCTTGAGGACATGATGTTAAGTGAAATAACCAGACACCAAAAGATATGAATAATTCCATTTATGTGAGGTATCTAGAGAGGTCAAATTCATAGAGACAGAAAGTCCCAGGATGGTTGCTACTGCAGAAAATGGGGATCTATTTTTGTCCATGATTTTCATATTTTAAAAAAGAAGAAGGAAAAAAAAACAGTCTGGAGATTGATTGTACAATAGTGTGAATATACTTCATGCTACTGAACCATACACTTAAAAATGGTTAAAATGGGAAGTTTTATGTTATGTGGAGATTTCTTTGACAAGAATTTAAAGTAAAAGGAAATTTTTAATAGAAGTTTTCTTGGTAAGCATGGAGTCATAAATGGATTCCGAGGGATGATAAGCCACCTCATTGGGACTTCACAAAAGAGCCACCTCTGGCCATTCTTAGCTCCTCTGCCTCTATAGTGCTGGGTACCACTGTTCCCACCTACTCCATGTCTGCACTTCCCTTTCCTAAGACCAAGCAGATGCTCCTGCTGTGAACGCATTC